GACTTATGGAAATCATACAAACAAATAGGACGAAGAAAAATATTTTTGAAGACATGATGTTTTACTGGATTTTACTTTTCTCTTGACACTTTTTATTTTTCCCCCCCTTTTTTTTTACTTTTGAATTATGGTTCATATTATTAAGTGAAGAAACGAGCAATACAAGCGTAAGCACTATCTCAAGTTTGAAAACAAGCCCTACTATGGACTGATTTAGCCAACAAATAAGCTACATCATTTGCTTGTCTTCTAATCTAAGCCACTAATATCATTTGCTTGTCCTTCTATCTAAGCCAAGGTGACATTAGACATGGACTAAGAGTAGCTTTACATTTCAGAGATGACAACTCCAAACTAGACTAGTCATGGAACAAAACTCTCCCAATAATATAAGTATGTAAGTTACATTAAAAGGAAACAAACGAAATGGTGAATAACAATCAATCAGCTTATTTTCAACCTAAAAGGTTAAAGTTATTTTATATAACATAAATAATTAAAAATTACCATAAAAAGTAAACAATAAATAAGAGTAAATATGGTTTAGTAGTTATAACTTATTTTTTAGGTTTTTTCTATTGGTAAGAAATAAAAAGAAATAATGGACAATCAGAATAAAAGAATGTGGCCAAAGGTTTGAACTAAAAAATTACGGAGTATTTTTGCAGTAATTCTAAATTTTATTTAATATTAAATAATGTTGCAATTTCTATTTATTAAATGGAGAAAAGATACTTGATTAAAAAGTAATAGTATGCAATCACCAATCTCTCCTCAAAAAATACTTTGAATGAATCTTTATTTTAATTTTATGCCGTTGCAGTGAAGTAGTTGTAAAATTAATGTTTGTGTTTTTTAACACTCTTAACTCCAGAATGCAAGTTTAAGCCAACTCTGAATGCGAGTTCAAAATTTTTACAATCTCTCGTGCTTTCCTCCGGTTGGCGGGTGTTGGAAATAGTTACAATAATGCATATTATTTTTTTTTTTTTTTTTTTTGCCAATATATTTAAAAATAATAATATGGTATGGGAAAATTGATTAAATTTAATAGTCATCAGCGATAATGTATTTGGATATTCTGTCAAACCATCCTCAGCAAAATTCACCATAATCTACACCGGCAGTTACCCATGTAAAAATTATCATCGTTGAAATTGAGGTTGATCAGGTATCATTTTGATTTGTTTTATAAATCATAACTATATAATGAAAAATAAAAATATCAACGGTGGTATGGATTTATTTCCATTTATTACTTATTGCAAATCACATCTTACAATAATGCATCAATAATTTTGTTTTTGCAAGAGATGTAAAAATTCTAGTATAATAACATTATACTGATACTGATGAAAATTTTGTGTTAATTTAGCAGTCATCTGGAGATGATGTACGCTGGAAATTATTCGTAACGCATCCTCGCAAGAATACTCTTCAGATAGGACACCAGTAACCATGCATAAATTGTAGTAAGCTTATATTCAATTTTGGCTTTCCTTACTCGTTCAAGTGATAAACGAGTTGCCATAAAATCCTCTTCACGAGTAATGTCAAGGCGACTTTAGATGTGGGATTTGTTGCCTGTTGTTTGCAATTTTTCAAGGAATCGGATTGGAGTAACATAATTTTCCTATACGAATAAATGTAATTTCTAGTGCGTGTCTTTGTCAAACTAGCAGATCGATCAAGCGTTTCGACGATCCTAAAATTGATATATCATAAATCTTTTAAACGGGTTTTCTCACATGACTGGGTTTGATTGTGAGGCTTGATGATTTATTGGAAAATCATTAGCAAAAAAATAGGACGAAGAAAAACATTTTGAAGACATGATTTTTCAATGGATGTTTTTTTCTCTTTACACTTTTTTGTTATTTTTCATTGTATACTATAAGTATTGTTAACTATATATGAAAGGGAACAAATCAAATATTGTGAAAGAATAAAAAACAGCTAGGTAAGTCGTTACTAAAATTAAAAATTGAAGAATCATATATTACCAATAAAAAGTGTATAACGTTAATAAAAATTTTACCATACAACAGTGAAAACATTAAATAAGTACCAATTAAAAGATTGAAATAAGGTTTAGATTTAACGGTATTTTTAGGATGTTCTATTTTTGGCCCGAAATAAAAAGAAATAAATGGACATTCAGAATAAAAGAAAATGTTTCAAACGGTTTGAAACTAACAAAATTAACGGAGTAACCTTTTGGCTTATAATATCTAAATTTTTATTTAAAACATTAAATAAGTTGGCTATTTTCAGAAAATGAATATTGAGATACAAAAGACTTCTAGCGACATCTATTAAAGTAGTATAATTTTAATTATTGCTATAAATTATTTGTTATGATAAAATAATATGCAGTTTCAATTAGTAAATTGCTTAAAATTAAAAATAATTTCAACTACGGTTTGTGTTCAGTTGGCAATACAGATTAGACATATAGGAAGAGCGTATTGGGTTTTAATCCGCATAAGTACATCCATATTAAAGGAAGGGCCGAAAGCCTTAATGTCAAAAACGTATTTTTAGGTATTTTCTATTTTTGGCCAGAAATAAAAAGAAAATAAATGGACACAGAATAAAAGAAATGTGTCAAGGTTTGAACTAACAAAATTACCGAGTACTTTTTTGCTTAAATATCTAAATTTTTATTTAAACATTAAATAAGTTGCTATTTTCAGAAATGAATTATTGGAGATACAAAAGACTTACTACGACATCTATTTTAAAGAGTATATTTTAAATTATTGCTATAATTATTTGTATGATAAAATATATGCAGTTTCAATTAGTAAATTGCTTAAAATTAATAAATATTTCAACTACGGTTTGTGGTTCAGTTGGCAATACAGATTAGACATATAGGAAGAGCTATTGGGTTTAATCCCTATTAAATACATCCATAAGGAAGGGCCGAAAGCCTTAATTGTCAAAAAAACAAGCATTCTATTATCAATCTCTCCCTCAAAAATACTTTGGATTGAATTGTTTGATGAATTATTTATCTTCTTCAAATCCTCATCAAATTCCCAATTGTTTAAACTAAAAAAGTTTCTTATTATGTAGAATATGCTATAGACGAATGTAGAATGGTATTTAAAAAAAAAAAAATACAAAATGAATTTGTTTATTTAAATCGAATCTAAAATCGGGCTATAGTGTCCCAAATTTTTACTTTCAAATAAATTAGAAATCTACTTTTCAGATTTTTCAAATTTACAATTGTTTTGCTTTTTATTTGGATATTATTATAGTGAAGAAGGTTTCTCTTTTCCAAAAGCAATCAAAGTCTTAACACTTATTCAACGCAACAACCTTATCTTTTTTGCCTTTTAAATTTCGGATAATGTTAATTTTGGTGTCTATACTTGTCACGTTTTTATTTTAATGTCTGAACAAAAAATTGTGACAATTAAGTGTTTAAATTTGTATTTTTTTAATATGATGTCTTTGGATGATATGGACAACCGAAATGTATAGTGGGACTAAATAAAATCTACAAATGCATACGTATCCGCTTATATGGACTGACATTTTTTCCACACATTTTCCACATAGACTAACACCGTGATAAAATTAATTATGTAACACAACAACCTTCTCTTTGTTGCCTTTTAAAATATTTCAGAACGGGACTAATTGTAGTTCATAAGTTCAGAACAAGGGAACAAAAAAAGCCCAACGAAGCACAACAACCCAAGCCCAAAAAAAAGCCCATCCAAACTATCCGATACTGACCTGTGAGGTAAGGGCAGCATCGTCACTTCGGTCATTCAGATTCGTCTATATAGTCGGCTGTTTGAGGAGTCATTGAATCATATTAGGGTTTGAAAGAGTATTTGAGACTTGAGAGGCGGAGTGTTCTCCCGTCACTGGTGGCGGCTCGGAGGCGAAATCGGTAGAGGAATATTTCAGCTTGAGATGATATGTCAGATTAAATGTCGCACATAGTTCTTCTTGGGAACTTGTGAACGTAGTTTCCAGGATTTTATCTGTGCGTATAGTGAAGAATCCTTTCTGCTTGAGTCTTCTCCTTGTTTCTATCTTCATGGAGATGAACTCCAATGATATTGGATTACACTTGTCTTTCTTGTTAAATCTCAACTCTGTATTTTTAAAATGGAGGTGGACTATTTACCATTTTGATTTGCTTAATGAATCATGAAAATGAAAAGCAAAATGAGAAATATCAATGTTCGTATGGATTCATTTCCATGGAATTTAAAATTCATGAATTAAAAATTAGAAATTAGAAATCTACTTCTTACATTTTCTAAATTTTCAGTAGCTTTAGAAAATTCATTGCATTATTACTGTAAAAGAGGTTTGAGGCTGCTCTCTTCCAAGAGAAATCTAATTTTTTTGTTTGGGCCTTCTAAAATGTTCTCAAGCTGGGAATGGAGCAGAAAAGCCCAAGAATGCACCAAACACATAAAATCAAAGCCCAGAATAAGAATTAAATAAGAGATTGGGGAAAATACAATTTCTTGAGATAAAAACCAATTTAAATTTGTAATATGATAAGATTATAATTAAATACAATTTCTTGAGACTATTATGGTAGGTTCTTAATTTTTCAACTCTTTCATAAAATAATTTCTTTTCTTATTGTTATTAATAAAAATTAAATAGAATTTGAAATAGTTTTATATTGTGACGAGGCAGATGTTTTTTCAACTAGTAATAGAAAAAAAAAACCCTATTATAGAATTGAATTGTTAGACCTTGTTGTATTATTCATTTTCTTCAATTCCTTACCAACTTCCAATCTTTTAAATTGAATCCAAAATTCAGTTCAAAACAACTCAAAATTTTAAATTTAAAATTAAAATAAATGTAGTAGTAAAAATAATTAATTATGAGTAGATACATACCATTTTTTTCCCTTAAAATTAATATGAAATAAATTGCTAACTATAAAATTAATATGAATTTTGAAGTCGTTCATATAATAATAATAATAATAATAATAATAATAATAAAACAGGAAAAGAGGATTATTTTTTCCATTTACTTCATACGAGTAAATCTCATCTTACAATCACGCATAAATAAATAACATTTTTATTTTTTTTCACAAGAGATTGGTAAATGTTAAAATAATACTGCAAAGCTGGTTAAATTCTGTATTGACAGTAGTTAATGGAGATTTAAGTCCAGGCTTTTCTTTAAATCCATCCTCGCAGGATCCAGAATAAGTCATGGCAGCACTAACCCATGTTTTAACATCACCATAGGATTTAGCTTCAATAGCACGAAGTGAATCCTTAATTTCATCCAATGCGTTATCGTAATCCTCGGAGCAATCTGTCAGGGCTGACTTCAAAACTGGGTCTGAACTTTTCTTGATCAAATCGGCGGTGAGCTTCAATATGCCAGTGCCCTTCGATGATTCTATGTTCAGTGCAGCTTTTGTCAAGCTTTGAAGATCAGTTGCCTGGACTGATCCCAGAGCTGACAGGCAAAAGTCCTTATATAAGGTTTTTTGACAGGATTGGGTTACTAATACTGAAGCTTGGTGACTAGAAGAAACCATGGCCAGGAAGAAAGCAAAGAAAAATATTTTGGGAGACATTGTGTTTTTTACAGGGATTTTTTTGGGCGAATTGCTCTTTCGTTTTCTTCTTGTGTATATATTGATACAAGTGAACTTATATTTGGTAATTTTCAGGCGTTTTTTTTTTTTAATTACTTACCTATTTATGGGTAGGCAATTAAGGAAATAAAGTAACGTATCAAGTTATGAAATTGCCATTTATATTATCATTATGATGTATTATTTTTGTTTATACTAAATTTGGGCATTTTGCAATGTAAGAAATTAATTGGTCAGTAGAGAAAAAATGAAGATTTGTTTATTATTTTTCATATATAAATGGCGGAGTTTAGATTATATTTTACCAAAGAAGAAATTAATTTAGGATCTAATTTATATGAATTGAAATTAAACTCAAATTTTTTTAGGCTATATGCAGTATAAAGTAAGGAATGGAATAGAAAATAGAATTCTTATTCTGTGTTTAATATAATAAGACTTCAGATTCTATTCATGTGTTTGGTTAATAGGATAATGGAAAGAATTAGATGGAAAAATAAAATAATAATGATAAAATTATTGAAATAGATAGAGAGATAGTATATAGAAACCTAAACTATGTAATAAGGATCGGGGAAATAAGTATCTTTATTGCTTATTTTATTACGAAACACATTAGTTTAGTGAAACGAAGGAAGATTAGATAACCACTTTGATTTGTTTTATAAATCATAAATATGAAATGAGAGATTATAAAAATTAGTTTTAGTATGGATTCATTTCCATTTATTATTTATGTAAATCCCATCTCACAATAATACATCAATGAACTCAGAAATGAACATAAAAGGATAATTAATGTTTTGCCAAGAGATTGGAAAATTTTAATATGATACCACAAACTTGGTTAAATTGTGTGTTGAAAGTAGTCAATGGAGATGCACTTTTCGTAAAACCTTCTTCGCACGTCTGAGAATAAGTCATAGCAGCACTAACCCACGTATTTAAATCGTTATAAGATCTGTTTTGGACAGCACGAACTGAGTCGTTAATTTGACCAATCGCATCACTATAAACCTCTTGACATTGTGCCAAGGCTTGCTTAACAATCGGATTTGAAGGTTTTTTCTGCAATTGAGAAATGACATTGAGTATTTTGCTTCCATATGATGATGCAAAGTGGAGTGCATCTATAGTCAAGCTCGGCAGATTAGTAGCTCTGGATGTTCCTAGAACTGACATGCATACGGTTCTATACGAAGTTTTTGCACATGATTGGGAAACAAATGGAGAGGCTTGGTAACTTTTGGAAATCATAGTGAGAAAGACGACAAAGAAAAATATTTTTGAAGACATGATGTTTCACGAAGATTTTCTTTTTTCTCTTGGTAATCTTTAATTTTTCTCTTTTATTTTTCTCTTGGTGATTTTTTCTCTCCTATTCTTCTTGTATATATACTAAACAAAATGAATTTAGGTTTGGAAATTTTATGTTGTTTTTAATTATATTTCTATTTTTGGGTAATTTTTTCAAGGAATGAAAAAAAAAAAAATAAAAGCTAGAAGTTCTATACAAAAAGAACAAATCAAAATATCAATTAACAGAATCATTTACAACTCGAATACGAGGAGAAAAGGGCCAAAAATAATCAAACAGTAACTAAGTTCTGATTATGGCTGGAAGAACTAATAATTTTAATTTCTTTTTCCTCTCTATTTTTCACATATTTGTTCTGTTTTGAAGATCTTATGAGCATTTATTTGAGATCTAACAAAATCTCTCTTCCATATCTAATACAATTTCAAGAAATTTATTTGAAATCTAACAAAATCTCACTTCCAGATATTCTGCAGTTTCCTATTCTAATCTCTTATTTTCCTTGCATGTCAAATCTTACGTTATATTTTTATTTCTCAACAAAATCTTGAGGGGATTTTTAATGGCTTACTCCTTAGGAGGTAAGACCAAAAGCTTGCAAAATGTTAAAAGAACACTACATAACTGGCTAAACCTCGTATTCTCAGCCGTTAATGGAGATTGTGTTGCTGGTGTTTCCTTAAAACCCTCCTCGCACCATTCTGCGGCATTCATGGCAGCAGCCACACGTGTATGAACATCATTATAAGATTCAGTATCAGCAGCGACACGTGACTCCTTAAGTTCATCGATCTCTGTCTGATATGTCTGAGAACAATCTGTCAACTTTTGTTTCACTTTCTGATCAGAAGCTGTTTTCAGCAATTCGTTGCACCGTTGGAGCAGTTCAGCTCCCTCCGAGGAGACCAGATCGAGTCCATAATTTGTTAAGCTTTGCAAATCTTTAGTAGTTGCCGGGGCTGATCCTAAGGCCGATATGCATAGATCTTTATATAAAGTTTTCTCGCACGATTGGATTACAAATTCTGAGGCTTGCTTACTTTTAGAAATCATGCCAAGAACTACTACAAAGAAAATGATTTTGGAAGCCATGATGATAATTTTTCTTTAGGTGATTTTGTTTTGTTTTCTTTTCTTGTATATGTATGGTCAAATTAGGTTATTGGTAGTTTAAGGTTTTCTTAACTGCTTTCTTTTTTTAGATAGGCAGTTAAAAAGAAATGATGGAGGAATATGGAGAATAGGTAATAGAATCGTTTAGTGGTTTTCTTTTCAATTAAAAAGTCAAAATGTTTGTGGGAAGAAATTCAGATTATTTAGCTTAATTAATATTATTGATTATGATTAAGTTTAATATGAATATTACTAATTAAATGAGTTATAATAAAAAGAAAATTAAAGATTTTTACTTATCATTTAATTACTTTATTTATGAAATGAAAAATATTTATGTCTTTTAATTTTATAATATTTTCATAAATTGATAGAGTTTTTCTTAATGTCCTTTCTCCTATAAGATATTGATTTTATAGGGATTTAATTAATTTAATCTATCAATGATGTGATTCATAATTGGAAAAATAAATGATATATTCAGTTTCAATATATATAATATCCGAAATTAAATAAATTTTCAATTCATTTTCTATCTTCAGTTCAACATATGATAACGTCGTGAATTAAGTTTTAAAATTTTTCCTTTTAGTTATAGGATTGAGATTTTATATATATATTGTTGAAATTTTGGAAGGAAAAATAGAAATGTACAAGATGATTAATAATGTTTTGCACTTCATTAAATTAATAAAAGAATGTGCCATTTATAGGCTTATAAATGAATCAAATAAGACCTAAAAATACTCCTAAAAATCATTAATCCCAATAACAAAAATATCAAATTCTATGCAGAAAATCTGCACTAAATAAATAATCAAATGATGTGGATTCATATTGGAAAAAGAAATGATATGATTCATGTTTCAAATTATATATAATATCCGAGAAAATTAAATAAAGTTTTTCAATTCATTTCTATCTTCAGTTTCAACATATGATAACGTGTGAATTACAGTTAAAATTTTTCCTTTTAGTTGTTATTAGGAAATTGGAGATTTATGATATATATTTCGTGAATACATTTGGAAGGAAAAAATAGAAAGTGTTACAAAGTAATGATTAAGATATTTTGCACTCGGAATTAAATAATAAAAGAATGTGGCCATTTATAGGCTTATAAGATGAAGCAAATAAGACCTTAAAAATACTCTAAAATCATTAATATTATTTGGCTCCAATTAACGAAAAAAACCTAAAAATACTCCTAAAAATCATTAATCCCAATAACAAAAATATCAAATTCTATGCAGAAAATCTGCACTAAATAAAATTAAAATCTCAAAATATTTTTAATAATATTGTTTTGAATTAATCCTAACATTCTCTCTTAATTCAAACATAATATTTTTATTACAATAATTAACAATTAAAAAATTATAATGTCGGAAATTAAATAAATTTTCAATTCATTTTCTATTTTCAGTTCAACATATGATAACGTCGTGAATTAAGTTTTACAATTTTTCTTTTAAGTTTTAGGAATTGAGATTCTATGTATATATAGTGAATGCAGGAATTAATTTTTATTTGTTATTCTTTTATTAATTAAAGATTAATTACTTTTGAATATCATGAAAAATTAAAATTGAGCATAAATTTGAGGTTTCTATTCTCCCTTGCCAATACTAAAAAATAATAATAATAACTTTCGGAAAAGCCAGAAAAAAAATAAATAATTAAATAATTATTGTCGAATATTTATAAAATATTACAATAAAAAATTAATAGAAATAATGGTTGAGCTTTGGCTTATCAATAGTATTAACTTATTAATGTTGCACTATTTAATATGTCTCTTCTTTGAGGAGTATTTTGTCCCTATTGTATGTAGGGTTTGTCCTTCTGCCATGGATGATGATAATATTTCTGTAGAAATGGCCAACTTGAATGTTGGCGAAGTGGAAGAGGAGGATCTCGTGTTTGAAGAGGATGTGGTTGCTCCCGCTGAAGATCCAAAATTCTGTTTGGTTGGACGTTTCCTCACAGAACGTTCGATCAATTTTCAGGCAATGCGACAGACAATTGCCTCACTTTGGCGTCCTCTCATGGGAATGCAGGTCTTTTCAGGCAATGCGACAGACAATTGCCTCACTTTGGCGTCCTCTCATGGGAATGCAGGTCAGAGAGGTTAATGGGGTGCTGTATCTTTTCCAACTTTTTCATGAAGTTGATGTGCACCGTATTCTGGATATGTCCCCTTGGACATTTGATAATCAACTCCTACTCCTGGATCGATTGGGCGATCACCCTTCTCCCTTGAACGTTCCTCTGTTTTATTTTCCTCTATGGGTGCATGTTACGGGTTTGATGCCAGGGTACCGATCTGAGCATATTCTCAAGAATATAGGGAACCGCCTCGGGGAGTTTATTGAGGCTGACCCTACTAATTTTTCATCCTCTGCTTGGGATTCCTATTTTCGCATTAGGGTGAAATGGGATGTCCGCCGTCCGATTCGTGACAGCCTCACTCTAAGGTTTGGACAAAAAGTTTGTTTTACAGTGAACTTTTGCTATGAGCGACTGCCCTCTCTGTGTTTCATATGTGGTTTCTTTGGTCACACTGAGATGTGGTTTCTTTGGTCACACTGAGAAGTTCTGCCCAAAGCTTCTAGATTTTGAGCCTGGAAAAGCAGTTAGAAGGTTCAGTTCGTCTCTTCGAGCCCCCTCTCGACGTGCTCAAAAGAATGTCGGGGAAAAATGGCTCCGGCCAATGGAGGTTTCCGGTGAGGCTTCATGGCAACAATCAGATAAGGATAGGGAAGCTAATCCCGAAAATCAAGGATTGGATGGCGCAGTTCAAAATTCTACTGAGAACGTGTCTGGAAAGAATTCTGATGAGGAAGGAGTGTCAACCAACATTTACTGCAACCCTTTGGCAGTAAATCATAATACCCTTCCTAATGTTTTGGAGTTGACTGAGGAAGATTCGGATTCCCTTAATGAGGTCATAGTGGGGGAACCGAAAAGGAAAAGAGTGGGCTGGGTTTTGTTCCTAAACCGAGCATGCCTATTGATCCCAAAACCAGTGTATCGGCCGGTTCGACTCGAACCCGCCGCACGAAATGAGTTGCTTAAGTTGGAATTGCCGCGGGTTGGGCAACTCGCGGGCTCTACAACATTTACAGTTTCTTGTCTCTGAAAAGAACCCTGTATTTGTTTTTTTAATTGAAACTATTTGTTTGTCTTCTAAAATTAATGAAATAAAAGAGCTTTTGGGTTATGATGATTTTTTAGCTGTGGATTGTTCTGGTCACAGCGGTGGTTTAGCTCCTGTATTTGTTTTTTTAATTGAAACTATTTGTTTGTCTTCTAAAATTAATGAAATAAAAGAGCTTTTGGGTTATGATGATTTTTTAGCTGTGGATTGTTCTGGTCACAGCGGTGGTTTAGCTTTACTATGGAAATCTGTTGACTCAGTTACCCCTCTTAATCTCTCTAAAAGATGTATTGATGTTGAAGTTACTATGAACTTATTTGGCTCGTGGAGGTTTACAGGTTTTTATGGCCATCCGGATAGAACTAGAAGAAGTGAGTCTTGGGTCCTACTCAAAAACTTAGCAGATTGTAGCTCTCTCCCTTGGGTCTGTATGGGGGATTTCAATGATATTTTGAGTCAGAATGAGAAAAAAGGAGGTCGTCGTCAACCTCAGAATCTTATTGATGGCTTTAGGGACTCTGTGTTGACCGCAGGCCTTAATGATTTTACAATGGGAGGCAGTACCTCTTCTGATCATCTCCCTATTTTCCTTGAGATTCGAAAATTCATCTCTCGATCTTCTGCAATTCGTTTTAGATTTGAAAACTGGTGGCTGCGCAATCCCGAATGTAAAGCTCTGGTTCAAGCTGATTGGGATCTTTCGAATGGGCAAGATATTCTTAGCTGGTTA